TTTGAATATTTTGTGTTAAATTAAAATTTAATATTTCTCAGTGTCAAAATAACATAATTTATAAGTAAATAAACGAATAATATAAAAATAATGTAGTTTTAAAACATAAATTTTAAAAATGAATGAATAAAATGTGTGTATTGATTTAATATATTGTAAATATAAATTTTATTGAAAAAAATATGTTTTGTACAACTAGTTATATATTTTATATGTAAAAAGGTACAGATATTTTGTGTTATTTTCTCTTTATAACAGTAAATATCTGATAATCTATATATTGCATATATTAAATATCACAGAGGCATCGTCTAAACTAAAAATGTAAAAATAGCATCTAATTTCAGTTAAATTTAACATCATAAATGTTAAATATATTTAACATAAAATTAACATAAAATCTGTTTTTAAATTATGTCAAAGTATTACGCTTCTTGTGTTAATTTTTTACATAATATTTGTTACTTTCTATATATTCGTCTTATGTTAAATCAACACAAAAATTTGAGTGGACCGTTTGGAACATATGAAATGTGTTAAAGTTAACACAAATTTCTTTATTGTGTACAATAACTGGATTCATTAATATTATTACATATTCATACATTCTTGCAATGAATTCTAGTAATAGTTTTATAACCTAAATCATGAGAATTCATTGAATCAATTTTAATTAATTCAATGAATATTTTATTGTATTTATGTACAGTTTTGGTTTAGTGTGTATTTTCAGAATCATTTTTACATTTTCAATATGATTAGCTAATTTTATTGCTAAACCGATTTAACAATCAAATGCGAAATTTTTTTTATCCTTTATAAGCTTTATATTAAAGTTAAATGAAGTATTAAGATTATCGAAATTTTAATTACATTACTACCTAAGGAATTAAATATTACAAAATGTTCTGTAATATGTGTGTGCGTGTATGCGTGCGTGAGCGCGTGATGTGTATGTGTATGTGGGTGAGTTTTACTCTATCATTTATATTCTTCCTGATAAAATTTAAATACTTAATGAAACTGTTCACGATATTACATACATAATATTACGTTACATTAATATTAATAAATACGATAATCTGGACGTAAGAGAAAATCGATTTCTTTCTCTCTTTCTCCCTAAAAAGCAAGATTTTAATTATTAAATTTAACTGACGTCATTGTATAAAAAGCTGGAAAATTCTCCATTCAAAAATTATTTGTAAAATAATATAAATAGTTCGTTCTCGATCGTCCAATCTGAAAGTCCATAAATACATTATTACAATTGTCAAACAAATTTTTGCACTTTCATCCGAATGGAATAAAATTTTGCACTTTCATCTATGAATTTATTTTGTATTATACAACGCGAAGTTAAAGTACATACATATATCAATGAACAAAACGGAATGAGAACTCTGCTATAAGGAAACCGAGCTTGCTAGGAAAATATCGTGGGCAGTTCCATGACGTGTTTTAAATTGGATATTAATCGAAAGGAATGAATAAGGACAGCGTGCCATACGTGTTTAAATACAGGAACTCTTTCGTGTGCGCGCAAGACGAAGTCTCGCATACAAACTCGTATCTTACATTGGATAAGTGACTTAATTTTTTATGCCTTCTCAAAACTCACGACTCTAACCTTCATTGAATTAAATCCTGATTGCGTGGGCACGATTTTCCATAAAGCATTGCAGATATTATAGAAGGAAAGAAAAGTGTTCCAGCAATCCTTCGGAAAATCGATCGAAATGAATAAACTAAGAAGAAACTGATGAATGAGTGTGTAGGCGTGCATGCGTGCAGGCTGCAATAAAATATTATATTACAAGACGATGATTGTTTACTTCAAGAAATTGCGATAGAGCGTATAGAGCACAGATTTCTATGTGGCAATCTCGGTGTTTGGTTTCGTGCAACGTAACAAAATTGCGAACTAGAAATTGCAATAAATATTTGAAGAATACATATACGTGTATAAGATATCCTAGATTTCCCATACTTCCTTCCTTATGAGTATTTTTTTAGTCCAAATTACTTTGGTAATTCCAAACTCCTGTGCAGGTACGTCACTGTAAAATGTATTTCTTTCTCTAGCGTCACATCGGCTATCGGAAAAGCAGATTTAACTTGTTGCAAGCGAGAAAATGTTGCGGGTATCGAACTTGTCTCTAAAACTGTCCAATTAATAAACGACACCTACGCACGAGCTAACTAGATCTATTTCGCACAAGTTTCAGAGAACCTGATGCAGTAATACAGATAACCAATTAACTCTTCTCCTAAATGCTTCGTTATAATAATTGAGAAATTGTAATCTTGTTACAAAAATATGAAATCAAGCATGCGAACTGATAACAACTTAATCTGATTTGATAATACTTGACCAATGCTTCAATCAAGCAAATATTATTTGTAATCGTTGTGAAGAAAATGCAAATGCATCCGCAACAATTATTCATTTTACAACAATTAATATTCATTTTATACAGAGCGATATTGGAGAGGAGAGCAGTAGGAGGCAGTGAATAGAGCGTGCGAAGAAAAGGATATGTACTATAAAATAGTCGAGTAAAGAAAAGGGAAGTCAATATTTTTGTAAAAGGATGAAGAATTCGTAAAGGGCAAAGAGGCGTGAAGAGCAGATTAGCTCGACAAAATTCATAAAATTTACTAAGAAACAATTGTAGCATTTAACTGATATAGATTCCTGTTGGAAGAAATGGAAAAAGATTGTAATTGTGAGCGCGTCAGAAACAAAAAAAGCAAGATGAAGAAAACATTGCAGTATAAATCGCCGTGAAAACGTTGAACTACAAAAAAATTTTAAATATCGATCATTTTAATATGTTGATGAATTTAATGTTTACCCTATCACTACTTTTCCCCTTACTTTATTTTTGATATAACAACTTTCGAAACGGTTTTTGGTCTTTTTGGTATTTCTTTTTACATTACAAATAAGAAGAGAGTATTTTTTATTCGTATCAAAATTATAAATCTTTATAAGTAATCTTTATATCTTAATAAATCTAAATCTTTATAAATATAGAATTTTATGATGTTATTGTAAAATGTTCGGTAATCAAACTAAATGTCTCGCAAAAAGAATTTTATTTCAAACATATATAAAAAATGGATTATTGCTATTTAATCTTTTCCTTCTTTGACGCATTTATTTTTTGTGAAAAAAATATCGTCCACCTTAAAATAATTCAATTTTTTTTAAATCTTAGCAATGTAATTTCGATCAGAATATAATTTTGATAATAACTATTTTATATACTGTACAGAAATTTGTAAAGTAACGTCGATTCTTTCTGACTCTGGTTATTCTTCTACCTTATATCTAAAAGGTAAAGAGTACCGGGACGTATCTTTAATCTCGTCTGAATTCTCTTGAACGCTCATTATTTTTATCATCGATTTATCTTTCATTCTAAACTTCCAGAACTATCCATTTCGTCATGACGAACAAAATATACAGTTTGATTTCCACATTTTCACCTGTTCACTCTTAAAGACGTCGGGATTTCTTGCCTAATTATCTCATTATCAGTAAAATCCCGATATTTCCTGATTAATAAAGAAGTTGCATTATTTAAAAACAGATTATAGTTAGGTATAAATAAAGAGAATTTTTTAAATAAACAGTGAGACAAGAAAGAGCGAAAAAAATGATATTAAATAACATATAAAAAATTACTATATAAATTATTTTTCTATTTTAAAATTTAAAAAAATAGGAAACTGAATAATAAAGTATTGTAAAAAAAAACTATTAGATTATTAAAAATAATTTATTTACATATTTCAGTTTTATCCAATTCTCTTAGATTATAAATTATATCTAGTTGTTCAGGTATTGTTAATCCACAAAATAGTGATAAATTTTTCTCTATTCGAACTATAGTTTTCATTTAAATGTCTTGTTTTCTTTTGGGATATACTGGGTGCAGCTTCGCACCGCACAAGTTGCGTGTAATTTGCTACATTCAGTTACACTGCACTAGAGTGGTGCATACCATGGTGTACATTATATCATTATTACGCTAAAACCCTGTTCCAGCTTGACTTCCATTTTCAAATTTCAAATGTCACACTGGCTCTACACTGTCCCTTTGAGGAATGGTGTAGCAAAATCCCACTTCGTGCATAAAATTTGCACTATACCGGAGCCACGGAAACACGGTACACCGAATGAGTTCGCTTACCACCAGCCATGGAAACACGATACACTATTTGAATGTTACACTAGTGTAGCCAAGAGAAAACGCTATCTTCTCTTTAGTAATTTTCACACACGTATTTACACATTAATTTATATAATTTATTAATTATATAAACTGAAGAAAAAAGTCTATGGCCTGCCTGATAATCAATGACCTGCTGTTCTTATTTTCTTGTTTTGCAGGACACTTTATTAGTATGTTCGTCATGAAATTGGAGCACGTGGAAAATGTAACGTGCAGAATGAACAAAACTGAATTTGACAAATAATTTTTTTTTAAAGAAACTCTTTATATGAATAATTATATATCTACAATTTAAATATAAAAATTAGGTAGAATAGATTTAGAGATAGAATACTTAAATAATATAGAATAAATTTAAAAAAAATGAATTTAATAGTATATAATACTATTTGTAAAATTATGATATTACGTATGAGAGTAATTATACATATAGAGCAACAGGCAATTAAATCCTGTATTCGTAACGTCTTATTTTATGAATTATTAGGGATAGCAAAAAATTTTAGATAGAAATTTGAGGGAAATAAATTGATATTATTTCTTCATAATTATAAACGCATTTTGGAAAACATCGCAGTATTTGAAAAATATCGTTATTTTCTCTTAAATAAAATTACATTTTTTTACGAAAAACAACAAATGTGAATTAAGATTTTCTGTAAAACATGAACTAAAAAGATTTCGTTAGTTATAATATAAAAATTTAATTTGTTATATTATAATCGTTTTAATCCTTTTATCCTGATTTTATTGCAGGTAGTGCCAAAAAGGGCGGCTCTATTATTCGATCAATTAATGGTAGCTCTACAGAAGGTTGTTGATAATCAGGGAAAAGGTTCAGTCGGAAGCAAAACTTCAGTTGGAAGTAAAGATTTAATTGGAAGTACAGGTATAAGCAAGCCACCAGCACATCATTTCAACTCGAAAATCGTCCCTATGGTGGATGACCAAACGGTAACGAATTCGATTAACTGTTATTCGAAAAGATCCTAGTAGCTCGAACCACATTGTAAGGCAATTATACATTTCTTCACTTCTCATATTTTTATTATAATTATTTACTGTAGTACTTATTTTAGTATTAAAAGAAAAATAATTTATCCTTGCAGTACAATACAAACAAAATTCATATATAGAATGCAATGTGGTTTGAAAGCTCCGCATAACAACTTTTATTATCATATTAATGCATTCTTTTGTACGTACTTTGGTATTAATTTTTTAATAAAATAATAAAGTGTAATAAAATTAATTAAATATAATAAAATTATTATACTAGGCAAAATGAGTAATAGAAAAAATAATGTGAGATCAAAACGGTATGAACATGACGAATCAATAAAAAAGAAATGTTCGTACAATTGTGTGTGCGTGCGTGTGTGTCTGTGCGTCACCACTAAAATTTAATTATAATATTATAGCTATAAAATTTAATATGAGTGTATTCATCATCCGCATTTTTTCTCGTTTTCAGATGGATCTGCAACGACGCGCATTAGCTCAGAGTGAGCTCTTCTGGCGCTGTTACTTCAATGCCCTCGCATGCTTTAAGAAGAAGTGATAATGACCACACCGCCGTCAGTTTTCCTCAATCCCCAAAGATCGAAAGAGTGCGCGAAATTTCGTATTATTTCCTCGACTTAGCTGCAACAGCACGACGAGTAGCAGTGCTTTCCTGGCTAGAGGGTCACGAAAACAAGTGAAGAATGTACAGTAGAACAAATTCGCATGATTATGGCCGGTATTCATAGTCGGATCTTATATTTAAGACCGTCTTAAGTACAGTTTTAAGATGTCATGAATCAATTAGAGTCGCATTAGCATTTTAAGACATTATTTAAGACTGTCTTAAAATAAGAACGGATTATGAATACCGCCCTATAATCGTATTTGGAACGTCGAATTAATTCTCCTTCAACTTTATTTTTTTTTCGCGCCAGTAAACATGAACTAAAAGTAACGTATCAATGTCGTAATTTCACATTCAACAATGTAACTGGTATGTAACATACGTGTTATATTATATTTATATCGTAGAGTATGAATTATAACGTTGTTATGTATCTGTTAATTAATGTTTACTGGAAAGGATACCTCTGCCGTTCTTTTCATCGGCTGCATCGTTACATATCGTTGCCCCATCTTCTCCATCATGGATCATATGCAACATGTCGAGAAGCTATACTTACTCTTTTCCTCTTGTTTATAAAGTAACGATTGAAGACCTATCCATTAAATGACTCTCTTCAAGCATATCAACCAAAATGAAATAATTTGTTATAAACCTAAATTATGTGAGTTTCTTCGATATCTATTCTTGCGAGTTACTTCTAGATATAGGTATTCTTATTCTCTATTACATTATTCTTTGTCTTTGATGCTAATCGACGAGCATGTTTGAAAAATACATACAATTTTCATAATATCGTCTTGTTGCTGCTGTTTACGTAAACTGTGAAGATTTAAAGTAGAAACTCTGGTATCGTTATTTCTTCTTTTATTTTTATAATTACGTAATAGAACTGAAAGGTATTTAATGGTATACTTTTATTTATTTATACCGAGAACAACATTTTTAATAACATAAAACCCGTAAGAGTCAAGAATTGCAAAAATTTAGATGATATTGATATATATTACGTCTTTTTTCTTTTATGATAAAACTAATAACATCTTGATATATATACAGTAAGGATTTACCAACCACAGTATATTTATACAGCATATTTTCTAATTAGACAAATCATACAAAAATGTGGCTCCTGCACAAAACCATGCATCCCAATACATATATGTATATATATATATATATATATAAAATTTCATATTATGATATTTAAATGTTACAGTAAATCATTTAAATAAAATTTATTCAAATATTAAATAATCTACATAAATAATAAAAAAATTGCTAAACACAAGCGAAACAGATGTTAGAATAATTAATTAATATTTATTGTCTAATAAGAAAATATGTACACATTTCGACTAACACTGAATCTTCTTCATCAGCTACAAATAATATACTAATAAGAAAAAATAATTAAGAGGAAATGATATTGCGCCATTAAAAATATTGAATAAACTAAATCAAAACAATGAGAGCCAAGTCAGAACTAAACAAACGACAAACAAATCTGTTAAATTAATCTCTCAGATCAATCGATAAAAATATGAAAAAATAAATAGCAAGATATAAAAATTTTTGTGATAAATTTATCGTTCCATAGCGGGAATTTTGTTAAATCCAAAAAAATATCCAAAAAAGTACAAAAAAAGAATAATGTTAAACCAAGTCTGAAATACCAAATAATAAATAATAAAGAATTGTTAAGAAAAAAAGCAATTTAATAAAAAAAAATGTAAAATTAAAAACTTATAATAATTTTTTGTATATGAAAGCATCAAGTATCAAAATTAGAAGTGTCTAATTATTGTTTTTCAATCTCCATCTTATTTTCTGTTCTTATTATATAAAAATATTTGATGAAAAATCGGAAACTGTGAAACTAATAAAGAAGTATTAGTTGAATATGTATATTCTCTTATTAGATAATAAATGTATTTTATTCATCTTTAGCTTTTTTTTATTATTACTGAGTATTAATGAGCTTTGTTCTTTTTTCTTTGTTTTAATTAACATATTTGAATTCTTTTGAAACTATATTCATTTTAAACATTATTATCGTTATTATTATGATATTAAATAAAATATTCACAGATATAAATTACATAACATATTCAAGGAGATGGATAATCATTTATTATTGACATTTCTTTTTAAAAAAAAAGTGAAATTGTTCTTTTTCGTTATAAATGTAAAGTTGATAAAATTTTTAAATTTTCTATTTGTGTCCACCTTCTGAAAAAAAACTTTAATATACATACACAAGATGAATACTAAGCACTAAAAATTTTAAAGTGTGATTCTTCACACAAATTCAAGACAAAAACTTCATATAATCATATGTTCGAAACGGCATAGTTTCAAAGATACAGGATATTAAAATTTAAGGAAAAATTTCATTTTTTTCGAAAGATTTTGAAAATCATTCGTTATTTTAATGAAATTTTGTATGTTTGAAGTTTCATCAAAATAACTCAGGCGATTTTTGAAAATTTCAAGATTTTTATCTTGAATTTGTGTAAAAAAATTACTCCTTAAAATGTTTTTTTAGAGTGACTTTTTTTAGACTTAGTATCCACTGTGTATAAATATGTATATATGCTATTATATATACATATGTATGCAATGGAAGAACATGCAAATATGTTTTTTACGATTTTTTTAAATGATTTATTCTTTTCATTTCATCGCCTTCGATAGCCTTTCAAGACACAATATTAATTCACAATGCTTAGTATGAGGAAACATATCAACCGCAATAGCCTTTACCGGTACCAAGGGTTCACCAAGATACTGCTTGGAACAAGGTCGTGCTAAATCAATTAAATTTCTCATGGCAGCACGAGGATCACACGATATATACACCAGTTTATTCAACTTTTTTGATTTACGTAGTGTCAGTAAAGCCTTTTGATCTAGAAAAACAATATACAGGTAAGTTATACTATTTCCCTATAATATCATGTGAATATTATTTATGTATAATGTAACTTACGCAAGCCAGCTCGTGGAGGGTCCACAATGGCAGTGATATTGGATTTCGTTGTCCTTTGAATAACAGGCAACAAAATGTCTTCCGCCTTCCCAACAAAAAATTCGCAATTCTTAATTTCATTCTTGACAGCGTTTTCCTTCGCGTCTTGTATAGCATCAGGAATAATTTCTACTCCTAATATTTCGCCGCAATACTACAACAATGAACATTATATTTTTTCGAAAATAATATAGTGATAATTAATTGCCTGAATTTATCATACCTTTGAAAAGCAGAGACCTATAGTTCCAGTACCACAACATACGTCAAGTAGCGCTGTATCCATCGTGGGTTCAGCAAGATCGATTGCCGCCTTGTATAAGACTTCTGCTCCTAATGTATTGACTTGGAAAAATGCTTGAGGTGAAACTCGGAACTTCATTCCGAGTAATGTTTCTTCTATATATTCTGTTCCACTAATATGATATAAAGTATCACTACTTTCACCACCTATACTTCTGTAAATTAAAAGTATGTAATATTTCTGTATATTAAAAAGTATATAATATACTTACTTCTTATCTATTGTTTGAAAGTACAACGAAATAACATGTGCATCAACACCTTTTCCAGTTTCGAAAAATATTTTTAGCTGTGATTTTAACATATCTAATTCATTGCTACTTAGGTTCTGAGGATGTATTCCAACAATCAACATCAGATGATTGGCACGAGTGGTTCGAGCAGTGACTTGCCTCCAATATCCACTATGATCAACTGGATTAAAAGGTTCTAAGTTTGATTCACGTATAAATGTTTCCAATATCTGAAGTATAACATACAAATTTTTTTTAGATCTTAAGCCTATCTTCATCTCTATCACATTTAAATAAAAAATTAAAAATTAAATTTTACCTTTACAGCAATTTTCATATTTTCTGGAATGTGACAAAGATCATCGATAGGTCCAACTGCTGTAGAACCTGAAGCATAAGTTGACAGTCTAAAACCAATCATAATTTTGCTCTGTTCGCTGTCTTTACCTATATCATAAGAAAGAAAAATGTAAATTAAACTTGACTAAATTTTTATATCCTCATATAAATCTATAAGAAATAATCACCAACTGTAAACTCGCATTTATTTCTATATGCTTCAGTAACATCCGCTGAAAGAATATTTTGTAGTTTGCATGGCAATCCATCATATAATTTTTTTTGGGAATTTATCCAATCTGTTAATGTTTTACTTTTGCATTTGTTAAGCATTTGCTGACCAATTTTTATTAGGATAGATTTCATCTCCTTCTGCTTGAATTCCAGCTAAAAATGTATAATAGATTTAATAATAATAAGTATGAAAATTAAACAAGAAATATTCAATATAATTAATTAAAAAAAAACCATATTCGGTTAGAGCAAATTTTGGTGTTTAATAATATTTAGAGATTAATACTTTTTAGGCACAGTATAATCCCTTACTTGATCTGAATATGTCATGTTCCACAAAGGAGTAGTGATAAATTTGATTCTATCCATAGCGGAACAATTTGAATCCTCAGTGTCAGTCTTTAAACGTTTGTTGCTAGATTCTTCTTCCAGTTTTCTTTTCACAAAGGGATCTGGAGCTGGTTTAGCCACCTATGTCAAAGAAAAAGCAAGAACTAAAATTGTATACTTAATTTCAGAAATAGCATTTACGAAAGACTAAAAATACCTGTGCGGTAAGTTTATTATTTTTCCACAAAATTCCATTTATAGAAGTTATTGCTCGTTGACGACATTCCTCACTTCTGAAACATACATACAACCAACTGCTGTCTTTCCTGGGTGGCTTTACTTTACACGATTGCAAATCCAATTTGTCGTTTAGAAGCTTTTTAAATTCTCTAATTCCATAATATTTTGGTAAACCGCGCACTTCAATCTTGTACTTCTCAGACGTGAAATGATCTCTATCGAGATAAGCATACGGATTTTTCTCGTTCTCGATAACATTGGAGGTCTCCATAGCATTTGTGTTAGAAGAGAGAAATCTGAAATCAGTCATCCAGACCTTTTGAAACAACCTGACTCCTAACCTGAATCGATCAGACTGATCCTAAATCCTAACCTTCTTCTTCTTCTTTTGTAATTAATGGCCCTAATCGTCGTTGACGAGGTAAACTTGGCCAGTCGGTTTCCAGACACTTCTAGGAACTTCAACCTTCCACAGGAGTCAAACCGCAGAGATGAAAAGAACTAGAATCAGAAAGCTCGTCAGTCTCCCCCCCACCCGGCAAAAAAACCCTAAATCCTATCCATCCTAACAGGAATAGTCATGGATATGATCAATCAATCTTGGTAGAGTGGCCCCGACTACAAGCTGAGTTGATACGGCCAGAATCGAAAATGGCCGCCGGAGGCGGTGTCTCGCAAGTGGCATAGAATAATCGAACGAGTTAAGGAGGGGAGCATATACGCAAAACCAAAGTTCCCAGAGAGATCGTGAAAGCGAACCTGGCTGGAGAGTTTTAAATGTTGAGGTTGTTTGATTTATATACTTATATAAGAAATGATAAAAGCAAAGGACATAGTTTAGGGGAAGGGTTTTTAAGAAGATATCATTAAGAGTTACAGATGTACGTGAATAAGAGCTGTTAATATATGTAATGAGTTTGTCAGCCTTAGGGAAAGTGAGCG